AGAAGAGAAGAGAAGAGAAGAGAAGAGAAGAGAAGAGAAGAGAAGAGAAGAGAAGAGAAGAGAAGAGAAGAGAAGAGAAGAGAAGAGAAGAGAAGAGACAGGGAGAGAGAGGGGGACCGAGGACAGGGGAATAATGGGAAAACTTTTTTTCTTCTACTTTTTGTAGACATCCTGACATTACTGATGCAAAATGGTAAACTGGCAATAAACACTCCATTTACATGAAGAATTGCCCAAATGCCCCCACACATCCTGCTTGTCATGCACATTGCAATGCTTCCAATTGTAGTGCAACATATGCTAAATGCTAAATGCTTGAGCTGAAAAATGATTTAAACAAAATAGAAAAGATTTTTTAAACATTTATTTTGCACTTTCTAGGATTCATTTAATTGGCAGATGTTCCAACATGCAGAGCAAAGTAGCTTAACTAGCTAGTGGAAAGAACAATGCCTAAGAAAGCTGGAGGATAAAACGTCTTCTTACCTTGTGGACCTTAGAAGTAGAAAGCAAAGAAGTAAGTAAGTATTAAATAAAACTTCAGAGGAAATCTAATAGTTAAAATAGTGAAGGGCTTCCAAATTCCTTCAGGTACTGGCAGTAAATGATGTATCGATTTTGCTGTTAAACTGCACAGCTGTAACCAACACATTAGACATGGAAGATAAAAGCAATGCCTAAGAGCACCTTATTTCATCTGTCACACCTGAGGCACTGCCTTCTTCAGACTTTTAGTGTATTAGCACAGAAAATCAATTAGGTAAAGAACTAAACAAATGAAGGGAGAATGAAAAGGGCCTCATTCACAAAGTGCCAGGATGTCAACAAGCCCAGGAGACTTCAGTGAGCTGTGCGCTATCTCCAAATAAACCATAACCACTCCTTCTGAACTTATAAAAGTCACCAATTATGTTTCAAAGATTCCACTAAACATATTTTTGAAGGTCCTCCACCATTAAGCAGAACATGATAGCACTAAATTGATTATGTGCAAAAATGAGCCATCTATAAAAATATACATTAAATGATTATCTTTTAACCTTAAGTTTAGTATGAATACAACTTTAAAGCCCTAATTATTCTCTGTCAAAAAAAAAAACTCACCAAAGTGCATTATGAGTTTGCCAATAGTGTTTCAGATTGACAATACAAATGAATTCTCATAAAAGGCTACTGCAATTTAACATTTCTATGCCCAAGTTGAATGCTTCTGCATGGTCCCAAATTCACAGAACAATTTTAGAGATTAATCTCCTCTACCATTTCAAGTGTTATCACAAAAATGAAAGTACTCCCACTTATGTGGAAAATACCTAAGCATAAGTGTGGATTTTTCACATTTTCCATACTATATTAATTAATCATTTTATGGGACAGTTGTCTTCCCAGTAAGATATTAAGTTACTTCTTGAAATATCTTGCAAAAGGTGTCATGCAGAATTTATGGAAGCTAAAGTTTTACGGCTTCATATACCCAATTTATAGAAGTGTTTCTGCTTCGTCTCATTATTTCTTGTGTCACTAGTATGTATCAACTCACCATTTTATATCCCCAACACTTCATCATACCTATAAATAGCTATTACACTAGAATTCCAGGTTTTGCCTTTCTTCTTTATCAGTATTAGTTTTTGATCCAAAACAAGTGTTCCATGATCAGCACCATGAACTCCGCTCCAAGCACAACTGCTATCCTCTGCCGCTACCTTTGTGCTCAACTAACAGAAGCAACGCAGGAGAAGATTTTTTTTTTAATTTTCGTTTTTGCTTTCTATTTACTTTTTATAAATATATCTCAAACACAGCCACTCCTCCCTCATCTCCTCCTATCCCTTCCTAACTTTCCTATCCCTTAAATCTACTCCTCTTCCACTTTCCTTTAAAAAAGAACAGGACTCCCTGGGATATCAACTGAACATGGCATTACAAAGTTATTTGGCTCACACTTCACAGGTGGAATATTGCAGCAGTAGAACTTTGGGTGTCTGGTCATCACACTGCATGAGGAAATCATTGGCAAAATCTATACTCAGCTTGCCTTCTCTTTTTTATTTTCAATGAAACAGCGTTATTCAAACTTCCAAATTCTGTGACTCCATAACAGAATTCCTCATTTCTAGGCATCTCCCAAACTATATAATTATTTTTGCATTATCCATAACTATAATTTTTACTTTATTTTATATTTATATAAAAATTATATATATATATATAATTTATATATGGAGATTTGCCAAAGGAGTCATGACCCACAGGTTGAGAATCACTGGTCTAGAAGTGTGGGTTAGTCTTCTCACCTCACTTAATCTAATCTAGAAAACCATCAGAAATATGCCCATAGCTTTTCACCATGGTGACTCTGTCTGTGTTAAGTTCATAATAAATATAAACTATCATTATATAGCTAGTGTAGGAGCTCCTTTTATGATGATGGCTGAACATTCCTTCTCTGATGATGACTGAACAATGATGATCTACTGATCTATGACCATACTAGAATATATTGAGTCATTCTCTCTCGCTCCCCCATATATATATATATATATATATATATATATATATATATATATCCAGTATAATTTGGTTTTACCCTATGTCCCTGGGCTATGTAGCCTCAAGTTTTTGGTCATCCAAAGAGAGTCAAATTATGGGTTCATTCTCATGGATGCAACGTGAAGCACATAAACTCTTTTTATCTTAGTAAAAGTTAAATCTGTCATGCAGTGGGCTGCATGACCTCAAACTATCCCCATGTGTGGTCGTGGGCATCTCCATGCTCTCCTGCCTGTGCACACCTAGCAAACCCGGTCAAGTACAGGCAGGGGAGGGGGGTTACTGATTCACTATGAGCTCTCAGCTACTTTCCTCCTAACCCCAAGCAGACAATGAGCATGTTTTAAGCACCTCTGTGGTAGTATCAAGCATTCTTTGGGTATATGACAAATAATGGTATAGCTGGATCTTGAGGTAGACCAATACCCATCTCACTAAGGAGCTTCAATCATGCCAAAAGTGATCCATAGATTCAATGCAGTTACCATGAAAATTCCAACACATGGCGCCCAACGTGGGAATAACTGAATCTACAAAAAGCCTGAGAAAGCTTGGGAAAGAATGGAGTGAAGCATGTTTTCTTGGTATCAACAATTTTTCAGGTCTACTCCGCTTGCTAGAGGCAAGCAAGCGCTCTCATCTAAGAGAGGCTTCCTGACTCAGCTTCAGCTGCAAAACCCTGCAGCTCATTAAGAGGCCCTGCCACAAAACACTTAAACGGTGTTGATGAAAAGCTGAACGCATGCTTTTCGATTTTCAGATGTAGCAGGAAAAAAGCTGTGCCGTTTAAAAATGCAGGCTTTCTGGGCTGTCCTGCCATGGCAAACTCTGACTCTTTTGCAGGCGGTTCGTGTGGTTTGCAAGCACAGGCTACTGAAGCTCGCTGGCTGGCAGGGACCTTGAAACATAGAATTGTGGCTATAAACATGACTACAGCCTGTATCTCCTCCGTGAGGCTGGAAAGCTAAGGAATGTACTGGATCTATCTGGCAAAGCCACGGCTTTAATCCTACTAATATTGCTCAGTAATTTAAAGGCTCATGTGGTCAGAAAAAGAGAGATATACAGTAAAGAGATTCAAAGACAAAGAAAATGTTTAAATGATTTACAGTGTTAAAAATGTATGCAGACTAAAAGTTAAAATTCTTAAAAAAAAGTAAGAAAAAGAGAAGTTGTGTGTGGTAGTACACGCCTTTAATCCCAACACTTGGGAGGCAGAGGGAGATTGACCTCTGTGACTTCAAGGTGTGGTAGCACACGCCTTTAATCCCAGTGCCTAGAAGGCAGAGACAAACAGATCTCTGTGAGTTCAAGGTGTGGTAGCAAACACCTTTAATCCCAATGCCTGGGAGGCAGAGACAGGCGGATCTCTGAGAGTTCAAGGAGAGCCTGGTCTACAGAGTTATTCCAGGTCAAAGAGATACAGAGAATATAAAATAAAAGTAAAAATAAACGAAATAGAGGTTAAAATAAAGCGTACAAAGATGGAAAATACACAGAGAATCTTGATACTGTATACTATTATGCTCTCTTTGAATTGTTTGAATGCTGAGGAAGGAGCAACAGCTGCTAAAAGATATTTGTTTATAAATGCTGCTGAACTAATCCATCGTAGAGATTTTGATGCCTTGACTTTGAAATTTGGATCTAAGGACATGATGCTTTCGAAAGGAGTTTCCTATTTTGTTTTCACAGAGGATGAGACCCTGTTCATTTCTTCTATTCCGATATGGTATGATGGACCACGCCCTCCTGAACGGTTGCTGTGAATACCTTCAGAAAATTGCTTCGCTCAACTGCCAACTGAGATGAAACTAGCACACAGGTTATACCATGAAAGACCTAATTAACGACGCCCCCATTCAGCAGGAAGCAGTTTGGAGAGAAAAAACTGCGCCCATATTCCCAAATATTGTTTATAAATGTTCTTTTACATTTAAAGGGGGAGATGATATAGGTATGAATAATTTACATTGATATGGATTTTGCTTTAGTGATTTAAATTTAAGGTTAATTTTGTAATGTATATAGGTTGTTAATGAATAATCATTAATAATAGTTAAGTTTGTAGTCATGTTAGTTAAGATTTTCTAGATGTGCATAGATATATTTTAGATAGGCATTCTTCATATTTTTCAAAGATTATAGAATATGGCATTTTAAATGTTTTAATAACTTAGGACTTTTCATGACAATGAGACACTCTGCTCCTGGCAGCACCAATCTACTTCAAGAGGAAGATGGGCATCGAAGAGGATCCTTATGGAGTTTGATAGCCATTTGGGCAAGAAACTGCTCTTGCCTGGACTATTGCATAAACTGGACACAGAGAACCCGCAGAGAGAGGACTGCTGAACTTGCCTAAAGGTGAGATGATCTTTCGGGGTTCCTGATTCATGAAAGAGTCTGCAAGACATTCTTCAGGACAAGCAGATAGTGACTGCCTTTGAAATTTCCTGCTTTGTGGAAATGTCTGCTGGAAACTATGGGCCTGTAGGCCGAAGATGGATGCCCCAACGGTACAGAGGAACTTTGGGTGACTGTCCAGGCAGCGAGATGTCTCTGTCATTTCTAGAGCTTTGGATGTTAAGTTAAAGCCTTTTTTTTTTTGTTTAAACAGAAAAAGGGGAAGTGATGTGGGAGTGTCATATATCAATCTGTTGATTTCATTGGTTAAGTTATAATAAACCAACTGCTTGGCCTTAGCTTAGAACATAGATGGGAGGAATAAACAGAATAGAATTCTGGGCGGAAGAGGAAGTGAGGTCAGACTCTGCGCTGCTTCCAGAGGGACCGGACAGCCGCCATGCTCTGCTCTCCCAGGCAGCTGCAACCCACGATGGACTTAGGCTAGAATCTTCCCGGTAAGCGCACCTTGGGGTGCTTACACACATCATTAGAAATGGGCTAGTCCAGGTGCGAGAATTAGCCTGTAAGGGCTAGAGTTCAGGGGCCAAGCAGTTCTTAAATGAACACAGTTTGTGTGTTGTTATTTCGGGCATGAGCTAGCCAAGCGGCCGGGGTTTTGGGGACGCAGCCCCGCTGCCCTTATTTCAACAAACACAATTCTTCAAAATTCTTTGAAAGACAATATTAGCTTCATACAGAAAAAAAAAAAAGAAAAGCTGGATAGTTAAAAACAATCCTGACTAATAAAGGGCTGTGAAAGGTGTCACCACCCCTGATTTCAACTTTTCCTATAAAGCTATAGTAATAAAAACAACAACATGATATTGTCACAAAAACAGACATATTGATCAATGGAATCAAATTGAAGACTCAGAAATAACTCTACACACCTACGGAAAACTGATTTTTGATAAAGAGGCAAAAAATTACACACTGGGCAAAAGACCATCTTCAACATGGTGCTGAACAAATTGCTTGTTGAATAATGAAAATAGATCCAACTTGTGACCCTGCACAGAACGCAGCTTTAAATGAATCAAAGACTACTACATAAACCAGAAACAATGAATGTGATAGAAAGGAAAGTGGGAAATAGCATTGTGCTCAATAGCACAGGGAAAATTTTTCCAAACTAAACACTATTACCACAGGAACAAAAACAAAAATTCACAAAAGGGACCTCATGAAACTGAGTAGTTTCTAGAAGACAAAGGGCACAGTCCTTCAGATTAGGTGGCCTTCTACAAAATGGGAAAAGATTCTTGACAATTTCACATCCAATAGGGGGCTAATATCTAATATATACTAAGAACACAATAAACTAGATATCAAGAAAACAATGTTCCCCCAAATAAGACTTGAATCTAAACAGAGACTTTTCTGTAGAGGAAAGTAAACTGGCTGCAAACACAAAGAAATATTCAACATTCTTACTTATGAAGGAAATGTGAATTGAAAATACTTTGAGGATTCATTTTGCAACTCTCAGAATAACTAAGATAAACAAAACTACTGGCAATTCGTTCTGGCAAGAATGTGGAATCAGAACCAACATACATTGTTGGTGGAAGTCAAACTTATATAGCCAATATCGAAATCAGTATGTCAATATTTTTTACTTTTGCCTGTTTTCATTGTCAATATCACATAAGGTTGCTTGCAGTCCCGTGTTTTGAAAATTCTTCTTTCATTGGCATTAGCTTAACACTTGCTCTGAGATTAAAAATGCAATTTATCCAGAGGTCTCACATATCTCCAGAGATAAACACAAATAAACATCATGATTCATCATGTGAAAGTGAACAAGTTATTAATTGTGGTACCTTTAGCCCATCTAGTCAAGCTTGTCCTGAGTCCAAAATATGTAAAAGCCCAGTTTTCACAGGAATGACTTAATTATTTAACAATGATTATTAAAAGCCAAGCAAAACAAGTGACTAAGTGACTTCAGGTATCAGCAGCAAGGCTGGTAGATGGCTGAAATTGTCAATTAGAAGCGATTATTTTCCACACACAAAAAATTCACATGTTAATGTCTCCTCCGAAAAAGCATTCTGTGAACTGGGAGAAAATGTGTTATATTGGCCTCCAAGTTACATTGTTTCAATAGGTCTGTTGGAAATGAACAGCAACAAATTCTCATGAAGGAGAAAAGCCTCATGAAAGAAAAGAAAATTCTCATGAAAGAGCAAATAGGATCTGAAGATGGATCTCTAGGTAACAAGCAAGCCTGGTAAAATCACTCCCTAAAGCAAAGCACCATTTGGGAAGCAGATATAGAAATGGGACAGCTGTTTTCCCAGAGTCTAATAGTCACCGGTGCTGGACTTTAAAAGGTCATTGACGATGGACCTGAAGTGCTTGGTCTTATTTCCATATATAAAACGAGCATCACTAACAGCCCCATCATAAGCATTTGGAACTCTGCAACATTACCAAATATTTAAAGCGTAAAGATTTATTTGTCTTACAGTAGAGGGTTAAGCATACTTCCCATTTTAAATATTAAAAACTCATTATTTCTGTGACATCTATACTACAATAAGCCAAGGCATTAAAAAAGGAAAAGGAAGAAATAATTTGTGTAGTTTTATTTTCTAGAACATCTCAAGATTATTTTGTCTTGAATAAAGCATCTGAACCTTTTCTTCTTGCAAAAGAAAATGTAATGCAGACGAAATATAAAAAAAATCTTCAATTTTCATAGCTAGCAAATCAACAGACTTTTAAATTATATCACAAGGCACACTCACATTTCTAGATGATGGGTAAGTTCCTATGGCGTTTTCATTGCTGAGAAATTGGAGCTCTTATTTGTGCTCCAGTGAAATGAACTCACAGAACAGTTTCTGAGAGATCCCTCACCTCATGCCCAGTGTCATTTGTCAACTCTCTGTAGACCATCGGCTTCTCTTTGAAGGACTTCACCTCCCTAAACATCTCTGAATTGGACTTTTCTTTGCAATTTGATTATCTAATGGTGGGATCCTGTATTTTCTCCATTTTTTTTTATTTTTTCCTCCAAAGTTAAAACATTGGAGGTAATTGTGCAGATGCCCATTTATAGTTCCCTGTGGACCATGGTGTTTCATACTGACACACTTCTACACAGCTGGCCTTTTCATCAAGTTACAGGCTCACATAGTTCCTAATTTTTCCTCATTGACATCTTCCCTCATTCTTTCTTTTTTCTGTCTAAACCCCGTTGTATATTTTATTCATTTCTTCTCCCATTTCAAACATTCAGGTATTAGGCAGCAGTATCTCAGTTACTATATATTTTTATCCACGTTGAAAAAATGTCACAATACAATAATGTGTTGGAATTCTTCAATTTATATGCACAGAGAACCACAAGAAAATAGTTTCATAAAAGTAATTGTAATTAAATTCACTGTGATAAAATTAATTGAATATTAATCAACTTCCTCAATTGTTTTACGTGATCTCTTATCATTTTTATTACAATGATGTAACTAGTCTTTAATTCTAACTTTCTGCTTCCTCACTCTTGAATCAGTGAGAAAGACCTTTAGAATAAAAGTGATCTTGGCCTAAGGAAATAGCTCATCAATCAAGAATTGCCCTTTTTATGGGTTAATCGGTTAAAAGTCAACTATTCTTCACCAAGAAATTGTCAAACATACAGTCATTTAGAGCTGGAGTTCTTTTAACTTAATGACTTAGGCTACTACCTACAGTCCAGCCAACTTGTTTATTTTGCTGATGAAAATTTATGGAAAACAAAAAATAAGTACATTAAAAAGTGAAAAACAAATCAAAAGAAAACCCCATCTATATATCTCTATACCTAGCTCATTTGCTCTTCTTCCTTATCTTCCCACACATCTTTCACATTAGTTCTTATTTCGCTCTCACCATTCCATATCCCATCCCTCTTAAAACTTACCCTAATCCTACTTATTAATTTTTCTTTGAGAAACAACCAGTAAATCACTAACTGAGAGAAAGCAGGCATAATATACAACTCAAAGAGCTCAGGACTCCTGTTCCATTTCTGTAGCTGTCACAAATACCCTGACAGAAAGTAACACAGATAGAAAGGGTTTATTTCACTTGCAATGAACAAGTTAAAGTCCATTATAGCGGAGAAGGCAGGATGTCAAAGCCTGGGCTCACAATACCTCTATATCTACTTACAAAGACATGAAAGTCATTGCACTGTTGGTTTGTTAACTTTCCAGCTTGGTATTTCAAAGTCTACGCCATTAAATGGTAACACTCAAGGCAGAACTTAATACATCAGTTAACCCTGAAAACAGTTCTCCCATAGACAAGCCCACTGGCCAAAAGCATCTTAATAAGTTCTCTAAAAAGCATCTCCTCCTGGGAGGTTCCAGCTTGTGGTGAGTTGATATTTAAAACTAACCTTCATAATCTACTCCTTGTCAATGTAACAAACATAATCACACCTACCTCCAAAACACACACACACACACACACACACACACACACACACACACTTAAAACATCCTTTCTATCCCTATTCACATTTTCAGGTTAAACTCAAGATTTAAAAGTACCAAGTCTTTAAAAATTCCAATCATTTAACAGTTCCAAGTAAAATAAAAACAAGTTACAGACTTCATTCCCTAAAAAGGAAGAATGGAGGCATCATAAAACAATCACATCCTAACAAAACCAAAACTCAACAAGGGGAGTACCAAATCCTGCAACTCAACGGTTTTCACGCGAGCCTAATCTTCAGATCTCCAAAGGGCATGGGCAGCCCCCTTCTCTAGCTCTGGATAGCTTCTCTCTTAGGTCAGCTCCACCTCATACCTGCAGTTCTCTCTCA